ATATATATATATATATATATATATATATATGCATTTTAAAATTAAGAGTGTTAACTTTTTGATGTTTACAAAACATTTACTTGAACTTGATGTTATTCCAGTGGGCCTGAAGGACCCTGTTCAACCTCTCCACTCAGCTTCAACGAACACCAACCAATTGGCCTTTTCTTTAATCAATTATTCTGATTGTGTACACGTTTCGATAAAAGATTTATGGCTGAGATTAATGTAGATTCATAGTATAAATATGTTAAACGGACTAAAATTAATGATTAATTAGACCATTGTATTGCTGGAGGCTAATTTTTCTTCCGTGTTCGGCTTTGTTGGAAAGACCTAACAAAACTCAGAAAAGAGCAGGAAGGTATCCATGCTATATATATTTGAAAAGGAGGAAGCAATTCATTATGTTCTTGCATGTAGTTTGAATCGTTGGATGAAACTTCTACCCCGAAGACGATGATGCATTGAAGGTTGTTAGCGTATTTGCCGAAACAGTAAGGAATGGCAGCAAAGGTAAAAGAAAAGTAAGGTTCAAGAGTCGTAAATTAGTAGCAAGGAAAGTAGGAAACACAGGAATGGGGATCTTTCGTGTGTTGCGTTCATTGTTCTCTACAATTTGTTCCTTTGGGTTCATGTGGCAAGGCTCTGAAATATGAAAAATGGATATTCTGTGGGGTTGGGCTTGAAGACCAAAGAAGGGGACTTCTTGGGGTTTATTCTTCTTTCATTTCACTAAGGTAGAATTCAGGAATGGACTTCGTTTATATATATATATATATATATATATATATATGAGGATTATAGAGTGATATGTTATCATTTTTTATATTACTACTTTCATAGGAATCCGTGGTAATATTATCATCATTGTTGTTATTATTGTCATTGTCATTATTATTATTATTGTTATCAATAATTATGATAAGGGTGGTAATAGTTGTTGTGACTATTGACATTAGAATAGTGGATTATAGAGTGATATGTTATCATTTTTAATATTACTACTTTCATAGGAATTGGTGATACTATTATCATCATTGATGTTATTATTGTCATTGTCATTATTATTATTGTTACCAATAATTATGGTAAGGGTGGTAATAGTTGTTGTGATTACTGTCATTAGAATAGTTGTCACTATCACTATTACAATCATTGTGATTACTGCTAGCAAAGCTGATAGCAATAATAGAAATGATGCGACAATAGTTATATGGTTCCTAACCAATCTCTATATGATATTTATTTAAAATTTTAATTTTAAAAAAATTAATAACACTCAATTACATATTATATATAAATTAATTAAAGATCATGTGTGTGTATTTGGATATCAATTTAAAATCATCGTTCGATAGAAAAACATGTATTCCAATGAAGAAGAAAAAAAGCTTGTAAATATAATTTTTATATGATGTTTATTTAAAATTTTAATTCACAAAAAAATTTAATAATATTTAGTTATATATCATATATAAATTAATTAAAGATGGTGTATATTTGAATATCAATTTAAAATCATTGTTAATAATTTTTCTAGCAGCAGGGTGGTGTCAGGTGCCAAATTGAATTTGGTGACTGGATAGCCCGAGTGAAGCTGTCGGTGGATGTCAAGAATGCTTTTAGTTGTCGTTAAGTCCCGTTGAGTAAATTTTGGGACTCCACCACCATGTTTAATAACTTTCATCAGACTAACTCTATCATCATCATGCTCCCTAATTTCGTAAATATGAATCAAAGCACATGCTATATATTTTCTTCAATTGTCTGGCTCCTGTGGGTCAAATTGAAATTAAGTTACACATTAAATTGCAATGTTTCTTCTTATGCCTTATTAATGCATGAGTTAAAAAAAAAAATTCAAATTAGATTGTGTCTAAAACTTTTATGCGTTCAATATTAAAAAAAAACTTTTATGCGTTTAAAATCTGTAAAATGTTATCTTGTCTTAACTCCATTTTTAATATCAGTTATGGCAGGAAACAGCGTTTAAGGCTCTAAGAGCTGGATTCCACTAAGATAATGATGCTTAGTGAGACAATTTTGTGAATGAAAGACATTTTTAATAAGTTTAGGAATGGTATGAATCCTGTTATGGTGGCCATGACAGCAAGGCTTCCACTTGTATTCGTCTCGAGGGTAGTGCCCCTCACTCACTCACTCACTCACTGTCACTACAATCCAAAAACACAATCACGGATATTTTTTTTGGTGGGAGATAGATAATACAATTAGCCGTCAATTTTTTTTTGGTCTTATTGTGGGCACCATTTTTTTCCTTTTACGGAGTTATATTATTTATGTAATGAATTATTGGAATAATTTTTACATAATTTAGTTTATCATATTTTTCTTATCAGTCTCCTTTTAATTTTGGAACATCATACAAAATTCATTTACAACTAACATTTGACTTTGGTGTGTACCTGAAATCTTAATAAGTATTAAATGGTTATGACTCTTGTGACATTCAGTACCTTATGAGAACCTTTCACGTGATGGAAACAGTCAATTCACCACCATCATCAGATTTCAGCCTCTTCAGTCCCAAATTTCTTTTGGTTGCGTCAATTAAAATTTAAAAGAATGAATCACTGTTTTATGATTGCAATGTTCGTTAAATTCACAGATCAATAGTTAGGTAATAATCAACCTTAAAAACTCATTAGATGCTGCAATCTGAACTGCCATAAAAAACATTTGGTTTAGAAAAGGGGGGAGGGGGAGCAGAGCACTTATCTAATTCCTCATAAATCTCTGATTTTGATAATTTCTAAACTGATAAAACAAATCTTTAGTTTGCTTTCTGCCCATTGTAAAGAGTGTCACGGGCGCCACATTTTTCATTTGTCTCACAAAGGAGTGATAGATTCTTCTCACCCACTTCCACTCATACAATTTTCAATTTTTTTTTTCCATGTTTCAAACGGGTGAGATGTGATTAACGATGGAACAATTAATGAATGAATATAACAATTATGCTGATTAAAACGTAAAATAACTTTAACACATTTTTTTTATTGTGATTATAATACATCTTAATTTTTCATTTAGTTGTGCGTGTAGACATTGTATTCACACAAAAATTGTCGTTAGTCACTTCTTAATGCTAAACCGTTTTATTCAAATCTTCATCTTAATAGAGACATATTAGCGTATCATCTCATTTTCCCACTAATATATCTATCTCTAATTTAAAACTTGTCCTTAACTTCTTCCATAATAATTTATTATGTATCACAGAATTCACATTAACCATTAAAAACCTGAGAACAACATGTGGGGTGACTAATGATGTGTCAGAATAAGGTCTCCATTGAATTGAAGCAAGAAGCAACGAAAATTTGTTAATAAATAATCCTCCACTGAGACACCACCTTAATCTAATTATCTCACTGAGATTAGTAAAATATGTATATATGTTACAAGGTTATTTTATTCGTGGTAGTCTCTCTGCCCCAATATAGTTGCTCTCCCAAAGAATAAGGGGTTTGCTACTTCATTATTTTTTTTGTGAGATTTCTTAGTGTGAATTCACTTGTTTTATTGACTATTGTTCTCCCTTGGATCACTGTTAACTTTGTTTAAGTAAGGTTAAAAAGTGTTGTTCAACTTTTACCTCTGCGCCCATGGAAATTTCCAAACTCTGCCAATGCCAGAAGTATGGTTTTCAAGAAACAATTGTCCTTTTCACAAAAAACAGTTCTGGCTTGTTCCATAAACTGTCCGCTCATTGCTTTGGTGTTACTATGTGGGCCACTTCTTCAATCTAACATCCTTTTGTTCTTGCTTCAAGTTACCAACTTCTTCAAAACCTGTAATTTATCCTGAGGTTGTACTTGGAGATTGGAATGGTGGCTTTGGCTTTGATGCTGCAGCTGCTGAAGCTCTACATCACTGGCTTTGCTGTGACAGCCCAAGAATCCAACGGTAGGTGCTTGCTTAATCTTTAGAATTCCAAGTTGAAGTTAATCCTTTGTAAACCTTTCCAAAGTCTGTCAGAGATTGTGCCAGAAAACAAAAATATAATAACTCCTGGTTAAGATATAGGTATTTGATCTGGTTCAAACTCTTCCATTTTACAATGTTGTTATAATAATAATGTAGCTAGCACAGAGAACCTAAACATCTATGCTCAATTTTGCAATCAAATTGAACACTAGACGTCTTCTTCATTGCTTACAAAATCTACTTTTAGTTAGCACATATTGAAGATAAAACAAGCTACCGCTGGGTTCTGAAACCATAGTCTCTCCCTATATTCTTGTTCTTGAGAGATGACATGCTACCAGAAGTTTAGAACCAAAGACAATGGTAACTTGGAACAATGTGATCGACTATAATATTTTTAACCACGCTTTTTATGTAAGGTTCATAATTTCTTAGCCGCTGAAGTGGAAATGAATTACTGATTTGTTTTTTTAGAGAGTAATGACTTCTTGTCTAGGGAAAAATTGCTTTATTATGCAAAGCATTCGCATAGCTGCTTCGACATTTTATTGGTTTATGGTTGTATTCCTATAATCGTTTTAAGACATGGAGGTTCTTCTAGCAAGGGTATTTTTTGCCTTTCTTAATTAGCCATCGTTGGAGGCTAGTGCATTCCTTAAGAATCTGATGGCATGAAGTCTTGAAATTTTTAGATGTAGAAGAATTCTCGCAATTGTTCTTGTTTTTCATGAATTGAACAAAGATCTTTTAAATTTATTTCATATTTGATTATCCGGAACCAGACACTTCAAAACAACCAGAAGACAATAAATATCAAGATTCCAAAATGATTAAACTAATGTTGAAATGAGTCCACATGCTTGCTTGATTAATCAGTCATCTTCTTTGACAATTTTGATTTTTGATTTTTGAGCTTGCTGATATTTTTTTTTCATGAAATTTTGGTAATCCAACTGATAATATCATTTTTAAGGGTCCATTATATCTCCATCTCCAGCATTTTTTCCTGTCATTCCTCCTAGAGTAGGAACACTTGGTCCTATTTACCACGGAGAGGGAAGCAAAGCACCAAACGTACCACCAGATGGAGATGGTATCACAATCTTGTTCAAAATGGCCATCATGTTTTAATTTAAGAATTCTCCATCCCTATTAGTTTCCACTTCCCACTGGTATTCAATACTTATTTTACCTTCTTTCAGGGTTTGTCATATCCTCATCTCCAGCTAGCTTACATGTGTATCTTTCACCTAGCTCTCCAACAATGCCAAATGGTAGTAATCTCGTTCTTTTGATCCATTTAAATAATCTTGTGATCTTCTTAACAAAATATTAGATTTTAATGATCCAGGGCCATTTCTTCAGCCTCCAAAGACATTCCCACCTCCAACAGCTGCTCCAACCCCTCAGAAGATTAAAGACATTGAACCATTCAAATCTCCAAGTCCAAGCAGTATAGCATTATCACCACCATATGAGGTTGTTCCCTCACCATCAGCAGTTCAAGGGAACAAGCCACCATCTGTAAATACAAGTCCACCTCAGATGAAAGTACCTTCTGTTAGGCCTCCTGTCTCCACACCAACTGCTCCAGGTACATGACTGAGTTGCCTCCTGTCACCTAATGCTTACTAGCTAGATAGTTATAAAAATTCCTTTTAAGTTTCAACATCTCCAGCAGTACTAAGCCACAAGATGTTCTTCTATTGAATTTTGAACAGCCCCTATAGCAGTTAATTTGACAAAAGAATCACCTGTCAGCCAGCCTCCAGAACATGGAGTTTTGGCACCAATTGTTCACCAAAGGAATGCAAGTATGGGTCACAACTTGGAGCCTGCTCAACCAGGTTTCTACTAGATGATTTTTATTTATTTATTTTAAGTTTTCTTCTTTATTACCCAGTTCCAACTGGTTTTGATCCTAAATCTTATTTTCTATTGTATTATTTTGGGACAGCCTCAGTTGCTATACCTCCCACAACTCACAAATTAAAAACAATGGACAGAGAACCAACACAGCATGGAAGCATTCCGCCTAATGTTCATAAAAGCATTACAAATAAAGGTCACACTTCTGAGCCAGTTTCACCGGGTAGGTAACAGCCTTAATAATTCATCTTTGAAATTCAACTATATGGTTCTTAACTTCTCTTTTTCATTGAAGTACAGAATCTGTTGCATCCCCACCAAGGAAAGTGGAAAATAACCCACCAGAGGCCCACCCTATTGTCCCAACAACAACTCCATCCATATTACCTGGTAAAATTTAATAATTTTTTTTTATGAAAGAGGGCAAGATAAAGTTTAAATTTACATCTAAGTTATCAATTTTCTCATTATTTGTTTGTTGAATTCATGCATCTCTGTTGGATAATCTTAAATTTCTAGAGATATCCGAGAATTAATAAAATTCTTAAAATTTAACCCCAAGCGTGTGGTTCAGCGGTAGGGGTTGATCTACGCTTAAACAAGGTCAGAGGTTCGAATCCTGCCTTGTGTATGCAGCCGTGTTAAATCTTGGGGTCAGCTATCCCACCCTTTGAGGTGCCTCCAACGTAGCGAGAAGATTAGTCACTGCTGTCAGCGGTAGATACTCCAGGAATGAACAAAAAAAAAAAATTCTTAAAATTTGATATAGAACGTGTGTTATTAAGCGAAATAAATAGATTCCTTTATATATATATATATATATCATTTAATTTTCATGAAAAAATTTAACTCTTAAACTAAGTAAAGTTTACATTAAAAAGAACCAATTTGATACGAAATTAATAATTTCAAGGACTAAATTAGTATACCATTTTTAGGAATAAAATTGTATATTTTCTTATTTTTTATCTAATCAAATAAATACAAAGTCTAACATCTTAATTTAAGGGCAAATTATTTCCTATATTAAATATATACAGTAAATTCTCTTTTTTGTTCATTAGTACTTACATTATTATAAGTTTACACCTTGACCTCCTTAATTTTTAGAAAATCGCTACATGATTCGTAACCATAATAAAATTGCAAACGTTGCCCAAAATGAAAAGGCGGAATACCCCAGCATGCATTGTGAAAAAAACTCGGTTTAGGAAACCATAACCCTATTTTTCAAAACTTTCAAAAGGGAAGTAACTCAACTATTTTACTCAAAATTCTTAACATAAACACGTTAATTTCCAAAATTCTTAATTTTTTGTTTACTTTTATTATTATATTTTTGCTTAAATAAACCCTTTACACAATTCTATCAACTATAAGACCTAAATTATAATATAATAATTTTGTTTTCTTCAATTTCATTTCATCTCATTCCGCTCATCACTATCACTGATCATCAAATCATAACCTAAAAAAATACACAAACAAATCATTTTACGATCAAGTAAAATTAAAACGTACTCTGGAAGAGATGCCAGCTAGAAATGTGCAACGACAGACATACACCAATTGGGTCATTAATGAGATTCGACATAGCAAAGTAATAATCAGTTAGATATTCAGACAACTCACAATTTAAATTAAATTACTAAGCCTATTAAACAAAGTTTAAGAGCAGAAGTACAACCAGGGAAACAGATGGGAGAGAGAAGCATTACATCTAATACGATGGAGGACAAAATCTCATCAGAGGAGCTCGGCCACATTTGAAGGAAGCTCCTCAACTAACACATTATAAAACTTCTGGATGTCATACAGCATTTTCTCGTCATCCTTTGTGACAAAGTTGATAGCAACACCTTTCCTTCCAAACCTCCCACTACGACCAATACGATGAAGATAGTTCTCAGGCTGTGTAGGGAGATCAAAATTTATAACTAGAGACACTTGTTGGACATCAATACCACGAGCCAAAAGATCAGTAGTAATCAAGACACGGGAAGAACCAGAACGGAATTCACGCATAATAATGTCCCTGGTATTCTGGTCCATGTCTCCATGGGTTGCTGAGACTGTGTGGTCTCGGCTTCTCATCTTGTCAGTCAACCAATCAACTTTCCTTCTAGTGTTCACAAAAATGACACTCTGAGTGATAGCTAAGGTCTCATAAAGATCACAGAGTGTGTCCAGCTTCCATTCCTCTTTCTCAACATTGACATAAAACTGCTTTATACCCTCCAAGGTGAGCTCATCACGCTTCACAAGGATCCTCACAGGCTTGTTCATAAACTTCCTTGTGATCTCAAGGGCCTCGGGAGGCATTGTAGCAGAGAAAACTCCCACTTGAATCTGAGATGGCAGCAGCTGAAATATATCGTAGATCTGATAACCATATAAAACCAATGTTAGAGCGGTTACACATATCAATCCTTTTAACAATTGCATTAACCCAATAGGTGGTTCTTAAAAAAATAAATTGAAAGGCAATTGCATTCATATTTTATTACATGTTACCGAGGCTGTCAAACTCAAGAATTTACTCAAACTCATGAAGCCACTGTATTAGAGTTTACCCAATACAAAAATAGTATTTAAAAACCTAAAAATATATATATGCTTGAAACACAATATTTTTAATATAATAATATTTCAACATTTGGACTTCAAAATATAAAAATTAACAAACTAACAATAAATTAACAAAGTTTGGTAATAGATTATGGTTTGAAATATAAAAATCATGCTGAAATATGAAAAACAACAATATGCAGAAAGTGAAATATACTCTCCATATGACTACTCACCATTACAGTAAGTATAATAAAACCATTAGATTTATCTCAAATGGAAACTTTCAATTCATCAAATACAATGTTAACAAGACTAATTATAAAACCAGGAGGTCAGAGAATAGAAGGCTTCTAACCTATAAAATAAAAACAAAATTATTAAATAAGAAAGCACACCAGTACAGAGGGTAGAGAAAAAAAGGAGGGTTAGAAGGAAAGTACAGCTCCTACTTGCTGCCCAGCAGTTTCTGAACAGAGAGAGACAATACACAGAAAGAGATGACTGTAGTCTGTAACAGAAAATTGAAGTCTTCAACGGAACAGAGAGAAACAAAACATAGAACAGAGAGAACCTTCAACAAAGACAACAGAATCACGAGAGAGATTGAGCAGAGGTGGAAATTGCAAGATCAGTGTTGTCAATGAAAATCAAAATCACAAATTGGGTGTCACGAAATTTTTCTCTATTGGTGCTCTTAACTTCTTTTCCTCAGCTTTTGGGCACTAATTAAATTTGCCAACCCGCCCCGCAATTTCAAGTTTAAGCAAGTCCGATTGAGTTTGCTCGAGTTTACATGAGCCCACCATAAAACGTGTTTGCTCGAGTTGAAAATACAAATATTTTAATGATAATAAAGAAAGTAAAACAGTTGAAATGGGAGAGTTTACACATCAATATACAAAAGAAGATAATAAAGTATAGGTATTACTTATAAAATAAACATAAAATATCAGTTAAATTAAAGTGAAAAGGCATTACACAAGTTGTGAATTGAAAAGCACCTGATCCTTGAAACCCCGGGAAAGCATTTCATCAGCCTCATCCAATACAAACATCTTGATGTAATCTGGCTGAAGTGACTGCCTGCGCAGCATGTCAAACACACGACCAGGGGTACCAACCACAACATGAACACCACTAGATAGAATGCGTTGGTCTTCACGCACACTGGTACCTCCCACACATGCGTGAACCTTCACACCGAGATAATCTCCAAGTGCCCGCATAACCTTCTCAATCTGCTGAGCCAGCTCACGGGTTGGTGCTAAAACCAAGGCTTGGCATTGAGTCAAGCCATAGTCAAGTTGCTGCAGAATACCGGAGCAGAAAGTAGCAGTCTTCCCAGTTCCAGACTGAGCCTGCTGAATAACATCAAGTCCCTTGACGAAGGGAACTATTCCCCTTTGCTGAATGGCAGATGGCTTTTCAAAACCTAAAGCAGATAACAAACTAAGTCTAAGGATTGGAACATACCGCAGGAGCAGGACAACAAAAACACCACGGTTTAATAAAAAAATACAGTCGAGTATGACACACCCTGTTTCTAGTGTTATGCTTTGATACCATATATTTTGAACGATTGAAAACAGAAGAATTCCAAGGCATAACAATGAACCACCAATGGCAATCACTAGGATGAATATTATTTTTGGGTGATTAAAGGTAGGAATGGGAAAAGAGGAAAAGAACATTAAATTTACCATATGCGTAAATGCCCCTGAGAAGATTCTCCTGCAAACCCATAGCGTCAAAACTATCATAGACCTCATCATAGGAAGTGAAGAAATCCTGCCCATCAGATGAAAGTCTGAAAGGGAAAATTAAAATAAATAAAAAAAGCCATCAAAATCCAACACTTAACATTAACATTATCATCCAATTGCAACGACGCATCAACATGAAAACAAGAACATAGACCAACATTTCAGTCATAGAAATGAAGAGCTGATGACAAAACCAGATTGCTTAGAAGAAAAATCTTACAAGTCATTCATTTTGGAATCATATTGACGAGTATCGAACTGTGACCCCTCAGGTGCAATTCCAGCCATGACTGCAAAACGAACAGAAATTATTACACAACGCAATTATCAACAAAATCGGCACAAGTAAAGGCGAGTGTTCAGTGTCATCTCAAACAGAATAAAATTATGAAACGACTTCAGCAATATTGTGCTTCGTATCTCTGAAAGCGTGGAACAAACATACAATATGAAATATGAGTGAGCATGACAGAGACATTTATTTACCACAAAAAAATGAAGTTTAAAGATAATGAATAGCAGGCAAATACAAAAAAAAAATATAGAAGTATTATGTTGTGAGAAAGAAGCGGCGAAAAGTAGAAGAAAAAAGGGGATTGCGATAGTAAAGAGTATGGTGGAAGAGAGACCTTGAGATGATGATGAAGAGTGGATTGGGTTTTGGTGATGGAAGTTGAGTTAGGGTTTCTCCAGTTACATCATCTCCAAGTGCATTTCCGTATAAACCACCACTGGTCCATCAAAGTTACCAGGTGGATATTATGAGAAAGGATGTTGTTCTATGAACTTACCCCTCTTTTTGTCATTTGTCTTAAAATATTTTACAATTGCATTATGCTGTTAAAGTTAAATCCTTCAGCATCTTCATTTTGACGTTTATACTCTCTCCACAATTCACTTACAATAATGAAAGTTTGAAATGTAAAACTCAAGTATATTTTGCTGCCTGTTTGAATTACTATTACTATTGATAATCCAAAAACTATAGTGATTGTATCTATCCTTCCCATTATCACTTAATAATGTGCAATCGAGAAATGTGTATTCAGGTACTTTTACATTCAAATTGAGATTAAAAAAATGGCAATCATGACAAATATGTAATGTTTCTCTAACTTGCATAATCCTTACTCCTTGCATAAAGAAATAATAAAATCATGACCATGTTACTGTTTAACACTGTTTCTTTATGAAGTTTGCATGCAAGTTGACAAAAAATTTGCTACTGCGCATGCAGGAAATAATGTTACTATTAAGATGTCTTAGCTGTTTAATTCCAACTGTCGGCATTTAATTTTCTGCTAGTAACTTGATAATGAAAAACCATTTTTTTTGGGTCATATTTTACTTTCCAATTTTGTTCTTAATAATCAAATGTTCTCTTGTAGCTATCAGTTTAGAGTGCTAAACATGTATATCTGCTTTAGTTATCTTCAAATTGTATAATTCAATCATACTTCAATTCATTGACACTTGATTAACACAAAACATGTGGTACGGCACCAGTTGCCTCTCCCACTCCTTTGAGAAGCATCAATTGGAAGAAAGGTGGAGCACCAGTTGTTGCCCCTTTGTCCAGAAATCCAAAGCCATTTCCAGCTGTAATACACTCCCATGCTCAAGGTAGGCTCACACTACTTCTATATCAAAAGTTATTTTTTAATACACTTCCTGCCACAATACGCTTTTTCTATAGCAATAGTTGCAAAATTTCATCTAAAGAATTCACATTGATCCTAGAGCATGAGCTATAGAAAGATTACCCAAATAATAGAGTTCAAACTTAAAAATTGGCAAAACAATATAAAATTGACATCTTATTGGAATGTTATTGTGAATGTAGTTACCACTTACCAAACCATTGTTTGTATCCTATAGCTCCCGCAGCACAAAACGCGTGGCAATTACATCATGCTCCCGAGCCATTGATTTCACCTCCTAAATCTCCTTCCAATAAAGAATATCATTCTCCTATGATGTCACCTTCGACCTCATTTTATAAGCATCCTCGTACAGGTGAGATAACTACCAGCCCTTCTCTGCATCATCATATATGATTTCTCCTCCCACTTCAAAACACGAAGGTTTGCTATATACATGACTTATTAAAATTGTGCCAAAAAATGAAGTTCTTTGCTACAATGGAATATATAGCCAAATTTTATTTTTCACTTTTGATGCAGGAGAAGCAATTCCTCCCTTATTGCCACCATCAAGTGGACAAAGACATCATGCTCCACCACCAATGAACTCAAGTTCCTCTATAAGTATTATAAATCTTTTTATATGTTTATTCAATGAGTATGAGAAGTAAACAAAGGGCATTTCTAATTACTCTTTTTTTTTTTGTTGCTCGATAGGTACTTCAGTTTCCCCATTGTCTTCCCCTATTCATTCACACATGGACCAAGTTTCACCTGCTAATTCTCCATCAATCAAATTTGCACCTCCCCCAACCAGAAGTATGAAAGGCTGAAGCTCCATCTTTTTTCTGGATTACAGAAATTCCATATTTATTACTTCATTAAAATAACTTAGAAAATCTTGTCCCTTCATTATCATCTACTTATTAGAATGTCTTATTCTTTGTTTTTGTTATTATGTACCATTTTTCCTCTTAAAGTACCTCCATCTGAGTCTTCTTCAAAGAGACCCAAGATGCCAATACTGCCTCAAGTTCAAGCACTGCCACCCCCACCTCCTAATGAAGGTTAGTTCTTTCTATGCTTAATATCATAGCTGTCACCTCCACTTCTCATTCAGTTAGCAGCCTTGTTCAACATTGCTGAATTATACATTTTTCAGATTGTTTATCAACAGTGTGCACAGAACCTTATACAAATTCTCCGCCTGGAGAACCTTGCAGATGCGTCTGGCCCATGCGCATTGGTCTTCGCCTTAGTGTTTCTCTCTATACCTTCTTCCCTTTGGTTTCAGAACTAGCTTCTGAAATTGCCACTGGGGTTTTCATGAAACAAAGTCAAGTTCGCATTATGGGAGCAAATGCAGCAGACCAACAACCTGAGAAAACTGTTGTCCTTATTGATTTGGTGCCACTTGGGGGAGAGTTTGATAATACTACAGCCTTTTTGACTTCTGACAGATTTTGGCACAAAAAGGTTCTTATAAAAGCTTTCTACTTTGGAGACTATGACGTGTTATATGTGACTTATCCAGGTATATAAAAATTTCAATTTCTTGTCTAGCCCCTTGTGTCTGTCTCTTAATGAGAAATTTTATGTGGTCCTAATTCTTTGTATGTAGGTTTACCTCCTTCTCCTCCTTTACGTCCTTCAAGCCTTAACATCTTCGATGGTGGTCCATATTCCACTAATGGCAGTAATGGAGGGAAAATAAAGCCCTTTGGGGTTGACATACAGAAGAAACATCATAAAGGTGGACTTAGTAGAGGCATAATTGCCATCATAGCTGTTACAGTTTCTTTAGCAGTTGTTTTATGTGCTTCTGCTGCCTGGTTCATGATCAAGTTCAGAGATCATGTTAATCAGCCAGTATCAACCCCACGGCAGCTTTTGCCACCTTCTCTCACAAAAGAACCAGGTAATACAACTGATATTCTAAGGACCAAGTGAACTAGATACTGGAATTTTCCATGTTAGTTTATTGTCCTAGTGTTTTATGATTAAAAATGACATTGTATTTATGTATTACAAATTAACTGTTGAGGTAGGAAGACACGGCAGGATTTTTCACTGAAAAAGAATAATGGAATTTCAAGGATCTGAATAAAATAGTATTTTGAAATAAGATTATTCTAGACCTTTACTTTTGAATGTTTCCTTATCACATGATAATTATGACATACAAATTGATTGTTTTTATCATTTTGGGGTCCTTTTGCTTACAAGACATGAATTTCATAGGCACTGCTGGATCACTTAGAAGTGGGGGAGTTGGTTCAGTTTCCACATCATTTCGATCTAGCATTGCTGCTTATACAGGATTTGCTAAGACTTTCGGTATGAATGACATTGTGAAAGCTACTTTGGGGTCCTTTTGCTTACAAGACATGAATTTCATAGGCACTGCTGGATCACTTAGAAGTGGGGGAGTTGGTTCAGTTTCCACATCATTTCGATCTAGCATTGCTGCTTATACAGGATTTGCTAAGACTTTCGGTATGAATGACATTGTGAAAGCTACTGATAATTTTCATGTTTCAAGAATACTTGGAGAAGGCGGTTTTGGGCGCGTGTACAGCGGTATCCTTGAAGATGGGATGGAAGTGGCAGTGAAAGTTCTAAAGAGGGAGGACCATCATGGCGATCGTGAATTCTTAGCTGAAGTTGAAATGCTTAGTCGTCTTCACCATAGAAATTTGGTCAAGTTAGTTGGTATATGTACTGAAGACAGCTTCCGCTGCTTGGTTTATGAACTCATTCCAAATGGAAGCGTGGAATCCCATTTACATGGTACTTAAATCTGCTTCTTATTTGCATACTTCATCCTTGAGGTAGCATGCAAGTTGTTTAGTTCTTCAAGATGATGTTTATATTTTCTACTATTGTCTTCTGAAAGGGGTTGATAGGGAAAACAGCCCACTTGATTGGGGTGCCCTGATGAAGATAGCTCTTGGTGCAGCTCGTGGTCTAGCTTACCTGCACGAAGATTCAAGTCCCCGTGTTATACATAGGGACTTCAAGTCTAGCAACATATTGTTGGAAGGTGATTTTACACCTAAAGTATCTGATTTTGGCTTGGCTCGAACAGCAACAGATGAGGAGAATAAACACATATCAACACGCGTCATGGGAACTTTTGGGTATGAAGTTTTCTTCCTTTCATTCGTCTGTTGAATTTAAATCCATGTTTATATCTGCACTTGATTGAAACCTATTCTTTTTCCGGTTGATTTTCAGTATCATGCATTTGCTGATATATATATTTTTTGATATTGGAAAATTTGATTTAGTTACGTGGCTCCGGAGTATGCGATGACTGGCCATCTTCTTGTCAAGAGTGATGTTTACAGCTATGGTGTTGTACTTCTAGAGCTTTTGACTGGAAGAAAACCTATAGACATGTCACAATCTCCTGGACAAGAGAATCTTGTCGCTTGGGCTCGTCCACTTCTCACAAGTAAAGAAGGATTGGATGCAATGATAGATCCATCTCTTGGAGCTGATGTGCCTTTCGACAGTGTGGCTAAAGTTGCAGCCATTGCTTCAATGTGTGTGCAACCGGAGGTATCAAACCGTCCTTTCATGGGTGAGGTTGTGCAGGCTTTAAAACTTGTATGTAATGAATGTGATGAAGCAAAAGAAGAAACAGGCTCAAGAAGTTCTAGCCAGGAAGATTTATCTGTTGATTTAGATCTAGGAATCAGCACTGTTTCTGGTCAGCCACCAGATAATTTCCAAAGCCAATTCTCCCCTACTAACTTTGATTCTGGAGTTGACATTGAAAGAGGCTTGGCAGCATCAGAACTGTTCAGTTCATCAGCAAGATTTGGCAGGGTGGAGTCTGGATCATTTAGAAGAAACTCTTATTCAGGTCCTCTGAGAACCGGAAGAAGCCAAAAGTTGTGGCAGATAATTAGAAGTCTTTCTAGTGGCAGTGGCAGTGAACATGGAACAATGTTAAAGTTATGATCATATTCCCATGAAGAAATTGCATTTTTTTGCTGGATTTGTTAATATGCAGTTCATAATCCTAACTTTGCAATAGGCATTCACTCCACGGCTTGAGAGCCTTATTAGGCTTAACTTGGTAATGAAAGCATGTTGTAGATAGTGCCATGCTTCTCAATACACCACTTGTATTTAAGTTTTTTTTTGGTGAGATAGGATGGTGCAATTCTAATTTTACAGAAGTGATCGTTTGCTTATAGGTCTGGTATCAGATGTGTGCAAGTTCAACAACAATGACATGGTGCGAGAAAGTAGAGGGGACAAAAGCGATATCCAAGAAGGGACAAGAAGTTATTACATATGAAAGCTGACCCACAAGCTTATCGATTCAAAGCTTACACGCAAACACAGACTACGATTTAGTATTAATCGATGAAGGCAATCTGCTTTGAACTAATGAACAAGTCCTGAATCCTAGTACAAAAAAACAGAAAAAACAAAAACTCTTCCACGAACAAATTTTGTATACTGTATCAACGAATTGCCTTACACACTGTTTCAAGTTAGTCCTAGGGTGAAAAAGAGTAATGGCTTCATGTAAAAATGCACGTCAGCACAAAAAAATAAACAGCAGTGAAGGCTACACAAAATCCGTTATCCTTACTGAGTTGTTTTTGTATCTTGTTTTATGGGATATATTTTTTCAAGAGGAGAATGATATCTTGATGTGCATCAGAAATTCTTGCTAAGATATTAGGAATGATACTGTCTCTTGGAGTCTAAACTCTCGTAAATTTATTAAAAAATATAAAAAAATATTTTATCAAACATATCATGCTTCTTTTGCCACAACTATAGATATGAGTATTTTGAGAATACACCTTAATGACTAATGGATAACAATGACTCCCATAGGCCTTTTTTCTAAAATATACAATTAATAAGATGACTGTTTGATCATTCCAAAAAGGATTCATAATAATAGAGTATATATGTTTTATAAATTCATTTTTTTTTATATTTTTAATAATGTGAGATTTTATTTATATTTCAATAATCTTCTGCAATAAAATAAAATATATTGAACTTATGTAATAATATTTATGTTAGAGTAAAAAGTTTAAAGTCACTAAGTCCATTTAACAAAGGAGGATTAAGTACCAAGTAACCTGTTAGTATTTAAAAAAATAAAAAAATAAACACAGGATAAACAATTATTCTAGATAAATCGTGTGGAGGGAAGGATTTAGTGACAGCATAATTTTTTTTAATAAAGGAGAGATGATTTTATTTTTCTTTTGTAGAAGATAGACATTGATTTAATTTTTATTATAAAATATCACTTTTTCTTATAGAAATGGAGGATCAAGTATTTTACATGAGGTAATTCAAATCACATTTTTGTTATTGTATAAAATAAAAAATTAAAAGTCACTCATAATCACAATCATACAATAAGAACTTTTAAAATTTGAGTTCATGATGCATAAAAACACAAGATAATCAAATAATTGAAAACCCCATATTTGATTCCTGTTGTATTAAAAAATCATTCGGGGTAGTAGATGAGAGATAGCCGTTACAGGTCCAAAAATAAAATAATTGAAATATTTTGCTTTATATTTTTTTTTTCTAAGGTGATTTTCATTACCTTGTGAAAAAAACTCATTGGAGCAGTGTTAAGAGGGTTTGGGCCTAAGAAGTTGGGCTTGTTGCAAGTGTAAGGTGCGCTGAAAGCCGCTGACGTTGAAATATAGAGTCTGGATTCTGATTTGCGAGTCAGCGAAGAGAGGGGTTTGCATTTGCACTCTGCACTTTGCTTAGCAGTTGAAGATCCGGTGTTGCAATCTCTGCATTCTGTAATGGTATTTCAATTTCATTTTGGTTGTGTGTTTTCAATTCGGATTTGGATTTGGATTTGGATTTGAATTTTGTGATTTTGATTTGTTGTGGAAGGCTCCAAAAGCAATAACGAGTCCGGTCCCCGATGCGTGGTACCCTGCACTCTCCGTCCTCACTCTCGTCATCGGCCTCCTCTTAACCGCCTCTTTCTTCATGTCAGTTCCTTCTTCCATTTCGATTTAATTTGCCTGCAAATTCTATCAATCTTAGGGGTTTCACTCACGCTCCATTTCATTTATCATTTTTCTCACTGCTCGAATGCTGATTTTTGTTGTTCCTGAGTACCAAAAGAGGGTCGATCTTTGATTTCGCAATTGTAGAGCGAAATCTAATGTGGGATGTAGTTCATTAAGCTTGGACAAGGCCAAGGTTTTAAGTTGTGGTTGCATTCGGTTCTGTATTTGTTGTGATCCTTGATGCTGTGAGAAATTGCAAACAGAGGCAGCCGATGTGACCACAATTGCAATCGCAGGGACTCCAATTACCTTAACCATGCAACCACAACTCATGGTTGTGGACTGATTTTTAAAATCATGGACAAGAGTGTTTGCAGAAGAACCTTCTATTCCAAGGGTAGTACTGTAGGGATTCTGTTCAGGATGCTGTTATGTTTATATTTCAAGCAAAAATGTCTTCTACTTTAGGGTGTTTTCATATGCATCACTTCAACTGAATTGGCCCCTTTTTTGCCCTTCTTGTTAGCCAACTAATGCACAATGAAGTGTTGACACTTCAAAATAGGAGTTGTGTCTGTGTCATATCTTGTTCAAACATATATAGATAGTTGTCAAAATGGGTGGGTTTATTGTCCACTGTTGTCTGGCTTTGTGTAATCTCGTGAGACAAAGGTGATTGTGGTTAAGCAAAGAACTTTTGTAGTTGAGTCAGGGTTATATATGTGAAATGTGACCCTGGAGCTGAATGTTATTGTTGATTTTGTGACATATTAGTGATAGGTCGTAGCTATTATTGATTTTGTGACCTATCTGCTTTTAGTGATAAGTCGTAGGTGTGTGTTCAGCTTGGACTGTCGTATATTTTTTGTGGTGTTTAATGATGTTTCAAAACTTAAAAGGATATCAGGGGTATCCCCTTCTGTTAGGTGAAGTTTCATGAACTATGAATGTTCATGTCACACTAACTGCCATCAGTGCATCTATATTCCTCTTTATACATTAAATAAATGGATGTATTATTTGCAGTTATGAAGCAACCTCTTCTAGGAAAAGTCGTTCACTTGCTCAGGAGCTGATAACTGGAGCAGTGGCGTCAGTGTTCTTGGTATGTATTTTTCATGTTTCCTTTCTTCAGTTATTTTTTGACATGAAACTGGTTTGATACGGTAAACTTATGCTTATGTGTCTATCTTCTTAACAGGGTTTTGGATCCTTGTTCCTCCTACTTGCTTGTGGCGTTTATGTCTAATTAAACATTGAATTCGATGAAAATTTTGCTAAGCAAATAGCTTAAATGAAAAAATTTCTTTGGACATTTTAGTTTGATATCTGACTAAAGTTATGTTCTTAATCTATTAATAACAATGTTGGTTGTGTGTAATGCTCCAGAAGATTGTGATATCTGATATAGTTTTACAGTTTGATTCTGGGGTATATTTCTATATGCTGAATGCCCTGAACATCATGGTTGACAGTATACGCAACGTTATTTGGGGCCTCTCAATCTTGGTTGGGTGATTTTGCGTGCATTCAGGCTTTAAAAAATTGTCATTTCGATAAATTTTCTTATCTTTCCCATTTTCATTTCATCTGAGAGAATTTCTTCTGGTGGATTCCGTCTAAGTTTTTTTTACCTCTTCATGATTTTCCTCAACAAATAGTGCAAGTGTAATTTTTCTACTTCATCCATCTTCCTTCCATTTTCATACCAAACTATCGAACGCCAAAGGAAAAGAGAAAACAATATTTAACCAAAGCAATTCTTGTTCATAGCATGAGAAGGTTTTCCTTAGATTGAACTGACCAATTCTTGTTTCATTTTGGGATCAGGATCCTTTCCAGCGGTTACTCTCTTCATCTTTATCTTTCTATTATTTCCTCTTTTTCTCTTCAACTAGACAAATACCAGGGTGAACCGGTATATGGTGTATCACTATAATTCACCATCAATAGGTGGTTTATGGTTTATCACTATTATTTTCACCATCGTATTTATCCCTTCCACCCGATGGTATCATGTATTTTTCCCACCTGATTGTTTTCTCCCTCCCGCTCAACTTGAATATCACAGGTATTTATTCTGTCTCTTTTCTCTATATTTTTCCTTGCTGGAGGGGCAAGAGACTAGAGAGGATCAATTTTCAGAGAGTTGAAATATTATTATTGTTCAAACAAATATAAGAACATTCTCTTTTTAGTGGAAAGGAAAGAAAAACAGGTAGCATTCAGTAAACTTTGTTTTTTTATATTTTTTGTTTATAAATTTGTCTATTTCGAGTGGGGATAGTGGGAGACTTGTTATTCCTAAGAAAAAGAAGCTACTAACATTCTAACCTGGCTAAAGATAGAGAAAGGTTTGTTGGAGTTCTTTTAAGTAAATATTCGTTGTGAAATGAAACAAATCTTAAGCAGATACTTGGAGTTGGGGATTAAACGTATCACATGCGTTGTGACTAAATCAGGATAAATGAACTCTACACGACCCTCTAATTTTCTATTATGTTGTTGCATTCAAAAATTATTATTTTGTTTGTGTTCAAACTATACACTCTCATGGATCCGGTCCAAAACTTGCTTCTTTTTTTGGGTCCAGCAAAAATTTTCTCTCGAACCTGTACATATTGGGTGTGAAAATGCTGTGTTCCATAACAAAACATAATCAACCAATAAATGCCTCTCCCCTCTCTGGTATTTTTGCCACAAATTCTGATTTTTTATTTTCTCATCGGTGTTTAAAAATCTTATATCAGACACAGGGAAGGAAATAGTTAAATTTATATTTAAAATCATAAGGTGGTGTTTGGTATCATGGATATTTTAAGATTCTTATGGAAGATTCGACCGAGTCTTTGTTGATTTGATGAACTTGGACGAACATGATCAACCTGAATAAAGTAAGAGGGAGGGGGCTTAAACTTCCGCATTTATACCACCAGGTAACGATTAATATGGAATAAGACTTCTCATATTATCGATTTTATATCTTATGTATCAGTTGTATATAAGTAAAGAAACATTGAATATATTTTTTTAAGTATTTTTTATAGCCACTTTCTAATGTATTTCTAATTATTTTATAAAAATAAGTATGAAATGATAATACATATCTTTATTTTGCTAATATAATACATATCTTTATGGTAAAAAATTTTTTTTTATTTCATTAGTATATGCACCAGATGTATAATAGAATACTTCTATTTTTTTTACAACATATTCTTATTAATCTTCTGGTTTATTAGATGAAAAAACATTGATTTTTTTTTTTTAGTTTTAACATATCAGATATGCTTTTTCTTCTTCTTTTTTGAAATTTTTTTTAATAAAAGATTAAGAAAATAAAAAAATATTGTCAGTTATATGTTTTTATAAACTTATAATTATATTAATCGGTCGTTAGTCTGATTGAAAAATGAATTCATATTTTTCAAGTAAATTTTCAAATCAAATTCAAGAAGTCAAGTTTCAAATTTAGATATTATGAATAGAAAAAGACACTAAATATTTCTTTATCTATCACGGTGAAATAAAAATTATAATTTTTTTTATGAAGAATTAAATTAATCACATGATTTGATACTTCATAAGTTTGTCAACCTGAAAAAGAAATCAACGATAAAATTAGTGCCTTTCATTTATTGATGCCTTGATGGTCTTGCTTAACTGTGATGTGTCATGTGTACTTGACAATAGGCATGGCAATCTAGGCATGGCAATCTAACTCGTCTCTGTGGGTACCTGCTCGAATCCGCCTTAATTTAGATGGAGAAAACCTGTGTTTATCGGGTTCAGGTTCGGGTTCGGATTTTTCCCGATTGATAAAATCGGGAGCGGGAGCGAGGGCGGAGATGTTAATACCCACC